GGAAAGGAAAGGAAAGGAAAGGAAAGGAAAGGAAAGGAAAGGAAAGGAAAGGAAAGGAAAGGAAAGGAAAGGAAAGGAAAGGAAAGGAAAGGAAACAAGAATGACAGAGACAGATTAAGTAGAAACATACTGCCATGGATCTTAATGATGTCTTGTAGGTCCTCTCCATCTGGTCTTCTTGGTGGTGAGGATCCCCTGCCAAAGCATAGTATCCAGTGGATTAATATACATTTGGGGCAGGTGGGAATTGCCAGGTGCCTCCCCTGATGGGGGTGCGTGTTTGACACTGTCCCTTGGAAGACTTTGGGTCAGTTGCATCATTTTGCATCATGAACAGTCCTCTGGCACAGGGTCTGGGGAACCCTTCAGAGGGCCTTTGATGGATCTTGATGCGCCTTTAGCTCGCCCTCTTGCAGAGTGTCCCATAGATGTGACTTCTCTGGCATGGAGAGCCCTACAGCTGAGCTAGTCTGCACAGTGGACTATGCCTGCAGCTGTGGCCTCCACCCTGAGCCCGTTGGGCTTGGCTCTTCTGTGAATGCTCTCCCAGCCTTATCCATTACTTCCCAGGCCTGAGATGCTTTAACCAACTTTTCTTCTCTTGAATAGTTTTAGTCAGTTTAACTCACAGAGTTTCAATCAGGAGGCACATTCACTCTGGGCTTTGGTGGTGCAGCTTCATTGCACAGTTTTGCCATAACAGCAAAAATCTGTTATGACAATGTTTAAGCCATGTGTGATAAACATGTCAGTCTCTGACACCATGGAAGGACTATGCTGGTCTGTTGTAGGATCATACAACAATTATTGTAGCACAGCCTGGGCTCCTGTCCTGAGTGATCACTGTAACCAGACAAAACCCACATCATGAATTTAATAATCTCAGTGGACATTTTACGGGTATTTTACAGAAGTGGTCTGTAGACTAAAGGACTGTGCATAAGTCAAAGGATGAGAAGGGAAGAAAGGATGGTTAATCAGGTTGCACTGGATAGTACAGGGCTTGAGCATGACATAAATGGTGTGGAATATGGAGTGGGGGTTGTACTAAGTTACTGGGATGGAGTAAATTTTCTTCATAGATGCTTGCAGGCTGCCATGTTTTACACATCTGACTGGTACAGTGCTGATAAAACAGTAGTGTTTTATCTCTCTGCCTGTGACACCAGTGAATAGATAGGCGAGTGTGCCCAGGGACAGAAGGAGCACAGCCAGGCAGATGGCCCAAGTCAACCAAAGAGATATTTCACATCATATGACATAGTCAGAAACTGAAAGGGGGAGGAGGGGGATTTAGTTATGTTAGCTGTCTTTTTGCACAGGAGCTAATGGGCATCAGTCTACCCTTTGGAGGCAAAGAGTGATTGGTTTTGTATTAATTAACTACCTCTGCATTACTTGTGGTATTTTCGCTGTTCTTTCGCTTCACCTTCACTTACTGAACAATTTCTGTTTGACACATAAGTTTTCTTTCTTTTACTCTTCCTTGGGACTGGAGGCTTGGAAGTGAGGGAGTGTACTTATTTAGGTAAGTAAGTTTTCCCCTTAGTTAGGGGAAAAAGAAAAGAAAGAGAGAAAGAGAAAGAGAGAGAACTTTCCCTCCTCTTGGAAGTTTGTACTTAGTTGCATATCCTCAGCAGTTGTCCTGTGAACCCAGAAATTGTTTTGAATCCTGGGAAGATATTACTCCATCAGAAGTATTACAGATAGAATTACAATGCAGATATTTTCAAAGATATCAATGGGTTTACAGATAACCCGGGGATGAAGTTTTGCAACTTTTGTCTAATATTATCTAATACTATGTATGTAATACGCTAATCTGTCTAATATGACAAAGTTACAGTCCCATCTCTTATCTCTTAGCAATTTCCTAAACTGTATTTCTTCAGCTGTGGTCTCACAAAACCTTCTGTATTTCTTTTTCCATTGCCATGTCTTTAGCTAACTGAGTTTCTAAACTCTTGGCAGATTTCTTTGTCTAATCACATTCTAGGATTTGCTTTTGTGTTTAGCATCAACTTTTGGTTTTTGGTGACATCATGCTTCCTTATGGTTTTCCAAATAGCATGAAAATTTCAAAACATCTGGGAGTCTTAGCATGCAGATATACCACGTGGATCCTGTCATGTTGCTAGTGCTGATTAGCTATTTCTCTCACAGAACATAATAGTCCTAGAGATGACCTGTGGAGAGAAGAGCTCTCAGCCTTCTGAGAGCATGTCTCCTAGCAGAACTGACACATGATTAAATAAATAATTATTTTTGGAAACATTCCCATATACATTTAGGAAGTAGTTGTATTGGTTGTGCTGAGTTAAAATGTTGACTGTGAACATCAGAAGAAAAGAAATGCAGGTTATTGTACAGTGACAATAATCTCAAATCAAAATTAATTTTATTACTTAAAAGAACTGTACCTCAGTTGGAATCTGAGTGAAGTTCTGATGCAGATGAATACCTCAGAAAAAATAATTTGAGTTTGTTATGTGTGGAAGGAGGCAGTGCTCCAGTAAGTTAGAATTCTGTAACATCAACACATTTTTAAGTTTGCAGCCAAACTGATAAAGCTAGAAATAGTTATAAGGCCATTGCATAAACAAATTTAGTCTTTTATTTGCTCTCAATCAATCTAAATCACAGCTTTTTTTTTTTTTTCTTCTTGATTTTCATATGTGGCTTGCTTTAAACCTGTTTTCCAGGTTCAAAACAGTGTAAAAGCTGAGCTTAAACTTAGCTTAAACTCCTTTCCCCGGGTGAGTATGCCATCCACAGCCAGGAAGAGATGGTTAGAGAAAGGCCAAAATAAATGAGACACTACAGACTCTAGAGCAGGGTTTGCATATGGACAGATTTAGCAACTAGTAGAGGACCTGTTCTTGTCTGTACATAAACCGTAATTTGATAGCAGCTATTATTGTCTGGATAATGCTGTCTTACATGATAATCAAATACCTGTTGGGCTGTAGATAAACTCATTCATATGTCCACCACCCGGACTCTTGGAGAAAAAATAGGAAGAGCACGAATGAGAAGGTTTGTGTTTTGATGTAATGTTTCAATACTTTGGCTTCTGCAGGCTTTCTGGACCACTAACAGCACTTGGAAGTCTCCATCAATCAGTATAAATTCATCCACAAGAACATATGAACAAGCATTCTTGTGTTTTCTTTAATCTTTAAACTATTATCCAAGTTGCATATTTAGAACAGCTATTCTTATTGTTTCCATTTGACAAGTATGTTAATCACGAGATGCTGTGATCTTGTAGCTACATGTAACAGCATACTAAAGAGAATAACTGAATTTAATATATACTTCAATAAATAAGGTTTGGTTGTAAGTACATTATCTCCTTGGAAAGAATGAAACTTGTAGAACAAAATCAATAGATGAAACAGAAGTGAAGATTTAGCAGCTAGAAACTGCAGATAACCACTTAGACAATTTTCTATACATGCCTCAAGACTTTGCGGTTCTGGTCATGTCTTTTAATAACAGATGAGGTTTTATTTTGATTAATATTCCAGTTGTAGGAATAATAATGTCCCTTTTGTCCAGCTGAACTTTTTTTATTATCTAGCAGGTACTAGCTATGAATGAAGAACTATTTAGCCAGAAGAATCATGAAGTGCAGATACTGCAGAATCAGACAAAGGCATTGCTACAAGAAAAGAAAGAGCAACAGGAATTTTTAAAGGAGGCTCAAGAAACACAAAGATTACAGGTATTTTTCCACTGGTACACATTTATCTGCATTGAACTATCCTTCTACTTTGTGAATTGCTTCAGTAGGTCCCTCAGATTTTTTTTTACTTAATTAGCTTTCAATATTAGGGCCATTTTGTTATAATTAGAGCTGTTTCACAGAATGAGTTGGGTTCTTCTAGTGGATGTGTCACAGTAATGTGATTTCTGGAGACTTTATATGAGCCAATTTGTATCAGAAGCCTCCTGCATAACTTGAACTGAACCATTTATGCTCTCCATGCTTCCTGAAGGATAACACACAACCCTCTCCCCAGATTTGTATCATTCTTAAGGAGTTTCAGGACAATTAATAGATTCGGATTTGAAAGATGCTTTAAAATTTAAAAAAACTATAAGGATCCTCTTGCATGCTTTAATTTAAAAATTGTATAGAAAGTTATTTTGTTATAGCTGTATTAAGAATTAGAGTATTGACCCCTTTTGACTTTACAAGACAGTATTCCATCCCAACTTTCAGATCCTTTACCATTAGAGAAAACAGAGTGACACAGTGGAAAGTGAGGTAATGACAAAGTAGCTGCTTGCCTCTTTCCTTGTGTGGATCTTGAGTTTGCTAATGAAATTACGGTGACTAGTATGTGCATAACATTTCAAGATTAAAAAGACTGCACATAGAATAGTTAATATTCTGCTGGTGTTGCTGGACAAGCAGACTACAGATAACTTACTATATGTATTTTTAAAAGAGAAAAGCATAAACATGGACAGTTAGTACTCTTCTCCTTATTATACTTTTTCTTCTTTTTCCTTTTCTTTTCTGATGGCTTGGGGAGAGTCAGTGCATTAAAGGTAAGTAAATTAGTTATGATCTTTTTCTTCCTTCTGTCTCTTTCTTTCTTTTCTGTCACTTCTGGCTAGATTTTTTTTTTAGCCTGCACACCATAGTGTCGACTTACACTGTGATAATGCTTATATAAATTTTGGCGGATACAAGGTAGCTGTCACAGTGTAGATAGAAGAATCTTTCTGTATCAGAGGCAGGAGGGAAGCTTGAGAACTTTCAGGCACCATTTTGGCATTTAGTTCACTAAACTGCCACTTCTATTTAAAAACATACAATGTAAAGGAAGTGCTTCTGTCAAATATTTTACATTGTATTCACAGACAGATGTAATTTAATGGTACATGATAGAATAAGGACTTTTAGAGCAGTGGGTATGAGGTAGGAGGTAATAAATGTTTATACACATATGTATTTATGCAATGGGTGTACACTGTGGAGTTGTGTGTGCAGTTGTAGCAGGGGCAAAGAGACTTTCAATCTAAGACAACAATATAAAGAATTAATAAAAATGTGTCACTTGAAGCGGAAGAATGCAGAATGTACCATGAGCTATATTTCAACTTCCCTGTTGTTGCTAGGCCTGATTTTAACCATATTCAAAAATAATAAAAAATAATCAAGTGAGTAGAAAATGGAAATAACCAGGCCTTATGGATGAATCAGTTTAGATAACATAAGTACTTTTGAACAATGTATGGAGAATGCTGTAGGAAAAGCAGATAAGGTATTGAAACTAGCATTATCAACAAACCTGAGGCTGGGTGGAAGAAAAAGCAGCAAGTGATCCTGGGATATGTACATGTTTAGTTTATTTATACAAGTAATCTTTAAAGTGGAATTGTACAAAGTGGAAGGGGAAGCCTATATACATGTTTAATGAATAAGACTCAGACCATAAGTTCAATTTGAAAATATTTGTTTAATTCTCATTTTATTTCTCCATAAACACACATATAAAGCAAGCATGAGCTCCTAATTATGTCATCCACTTCTCACTAGATGCCTGGATAGGCTAATGTAACTAGATCAGGTGTTCTATGGGAAAATTGAAACCCACACAATTACCTTGAGTCACAATTTAATAGAAAGGTTAAATTTAATAGAAATGTTACAATAAATGTAATGCCATTCAAACTGGCTTAGACCCACAAAGTCAGATTACAGCCTGCCATCCTGTTGGCCAGGGTGGTGGTTGCAGTCCTATCAAGTGGTGATTGCAGTCCTGTTGAAGTGATGGTTGCAGTCAAAAGTGATGGTCCTCATCTGGATCTGTCCAGGGGTGGTGGGGCTTCCAAGCCCCCAGTTATTTATGGTCAGGTTCAAGGGAAAGTATTCAGCACATCCCCTAGGGTGGACAGTTACACAATGGGAATGATGTAGTCCTGTGAGTCATAGGATATTTTTAGGAATTCTTGGTGGTCTAAGTTGCTACAGCTATCAGTTGTGGTGGTACCATTGAGTCCATTATGGCCCATTGGCAGAGATGACCACCTCAGGATCGGGGGGACTGTGCTGGTGTTTCCCCAGAAGGAGTTAGCACTGCAGAGTCATTTGTGAAGAAAAAGAAACACTCCCCTTCTCACAGGGGTTGGCTCTTCTACCTTGTCTCATTTAACACCCAGCTTGTAGTCTGAGGTGTCAGCTGGGCATCTACTGGGCATCTACTTCAAACAACCAATCATTAACAGTTTGTCAGAAATGGCATAGAATACTCAATTTGGTTACACCCCACAATGGCACTCTTTCTGTAACCCAGGACACCTGGGTTGGTCTGAACAAAAATGTATCTAATCTTTACTGGACTGGGGAGTGGGAGGGGGGCTCTGAGACTGAAGATACGTCACAGAATTCTCTGTTGCAGAATTTGCCTGTGCCCTGCACAATAATTTGGGGTCAGTGGGTGATTTACAAGATTCATGACCTTTGTGAGGAACTAGAAGTCATGAATATGATACAGAGCTCAATTTTGCTTTTGCTTTATTTTTTTCCCATGAGACTAGAAAATGGTGGAACAGCATATAGTCATTGATCAGCTAAAATTGAGATTAGAGGAGTTTACAGATGTGAAATCTTTAGATTTCCCATGTGCTTATGAAGCTGAGATATTATCTTCAGCTTCATAAGCTTATGCTTATGAATATAATTTTTTATGCCACAATTATCCAAAATATTTAGGCTTAAAATTCCCACCTACAAGTCCTATGGCTGTCATGGTTTCACCTCCCAGCTAGTTTTCTAGGGGTTTTGAGGGTTCAAGTATGAGACATAATAAAAAATGAATTATTATTCTTACCAATATGTTGAGAACATGGGATAATGAATTGCTACCAGTGCCCACTTTCACTTTTGGAACGATTCCTCTAGGCTCTTGCAAAACAATTTGGTACACAGGGATTCAGAGTTATTATAGAAAACCTGTGTAATTTTGCTTACAAGCTGAGATGGTGAAATAGTTTTTAAAATATGAGTAATGAAATGCTAAATTATTGCAAGTATTTTTACCCTTCACTATTTTTGTGTGCTTTTTGATAGGGGTATACCAGCCCCCCTGTCTTGTTTCTGGCCCAGATGACAGAATTCCATATTCGCAGACAGATTATACTGAGCAAATTAGAAGATCAAGATAAAGTCCTTCACTGCCACCTCCCTGATCAGAGTGACGAAGAGGAAGACAATACACGCTGCGAAGAGAAAACCTCATATAAGTAATGTTTTGTTGTTCTTTCACTTTTGTTACAGAAAAATGTATAGCAAAGGTAGTATTAGTGCCTAATCCTTCCATGATATGAGACCATCTGTGATGATACTTAAGTAAACCTGTGGGACCAACTGGGCATAGTGCAAAATAAGTTTAATATATGTAGGTTTAGCGAAGATTGTGTAATCCTTGCTTGTGGGTCAGAATCTACCTTGAAGACTGGGGGATTGGGTGATGGTGTGTGTGGGAGTGGTGTGGATGATGAAGAAAGTATAAATGCTTTCTTAAGTTTGAGCTTCTTCTCTGTTAAGATAATCTACTTTGCTTGATGCTTAAAGAAAAAAAAATCCCTGTGTATTTGCAGAGTAGCATGTTTATTGTTCTTCCATAGGTGTTCCATAAATCAAACATGGACACAAAATCATGCATCTCTGTGCTTTCTTCCTGATGTAAGTGACATGAAGCATCAAGTAGACAAGTCTGGTTTGTCCAATAAATCTGCCCTACAAACCGACACAAACACAGGTATAATGAAAGTCATTAGAGCAAATCTTACTACAGTATCAGAATATGCAATAATATCTTTAGCTTATGTAATTTGTTTTCCCAGCAAAATATGTGTATTTGTTACAAATATTTTTTTGGTTATAATTCAATGTAGCTTTTCCAATTTCTGTTCTTTCCCATTCCTATGAAACTGATGTTAGTAACTTCTAAGTAATACTTACTAGCCAGAAAGCAGTTCACTTATCAAAAACCTACTCAGGAATAAATTTTTGGAATTGCTTCAATGCAAGAAAATGGATGCTATTATCTTACCAAAAATACTGAAGTGGTTTCCTGGAATATTTTTCAGATGTAGGGTATTGAAATGCAAGTGTATACAATCCTTTTTTTTCCTGTTTAGACACATGGCAGGGAAGAATACCCTGCTTTCGTCTCTCCTTTTGATTCTTGTACTTCATATGGAAGAACAGCACACAGTTAATATTACAGAGCACTACCTTTTGAATACAGCATCTATTGCAGATTTCATAACTCTATTTTGCTTTGTTTTTTTCAAGGTGAAGAGAGTGACAGCCTCCAGAATAGCCATGTTATTAACATGCAGAAGTTAACGAATTCAGAGTTGAGACTTGCTAAGACTGAGCAAAAAATAAGAAAACTTGCACTTAATATGAAAAGGAAAGAGGAACTTATTAAGGATTTAGTAAGAACAGGTAACTGGCTACTGTAGGAATACTAGATACTGAAGGGAATTAAGATGTTCTGAAATAAAGAAAAAGGCACTGAAAACCTGAAATCCTGTATTTCTTAGTTTTTACACAACTATCTTAGACAAGAATACTTTTAACTACTTAAAAATCCATAGATTTTGCTAATTACTTGCTATGATCGCACTGAAAATTTTGATTACATGAAGATTATTTGTTAAATATTACTATGAAGATTATTTGTTAAATATTTTTTGTCCTTTGTTGATTATTGCTTTTATCCTACAGTAGTGTAATTTTTAATGTATGGTCAGTGCTATCTCTTTGTAGATGTGCATTTGTGACATAGTGTCTGGGATTGGAGAAAAGATACATCATTGTATCTTCTATATTCTATAACAGTAGAGAAATGGGAGTCAGAAGGGGATGAACGAAAAAAATCAGTGTCCCTGGCAGCATACATCCCTTACACATCTGTCCTGATAGAGAGACTAACCTTGTGATGACAGGAAGGATCTCTTTCCTCAGCCCCTTTAATCACACTCTTCTCTTTTCTTTACCTTCTCTTGAGGTGGTCTGAGAAAGATTCTGTGCCATCTCAGATTGCCTGAACAGGACAAGACACAGAGTAGAAACACAATCCAATTATTAAACTGAAAGTTGAATAATTAAAAAATGGCATATTCTTCTGGGGAAAAAAATTGTGAAATACAGGATAGCTGTTTTGCCAAAATCTGCAGTAGAATTTAACTCTGGCACTCAGCTGGCATTTTCTTGGGTGGCATGAGGTGACTCACGAAATGTTCAGATGTAGGACTCTGTATCTCCATTTCAGTTAGAAGGGAGCTGCAGGTTCCTTTAGTGTTGGAAGATGTATCAGAAATTACTGACTTAGGCAAAACAAATTAAATAATATTTCAGCTCCAGGAGTGAGTATTACATTTCAACTAATTATTATGTTGGTTTTAAACTATTTGTATATGTTGTCTTTAAGGTAAGGATGCTCTGTCTGTAAGCTGGCAGTGTTCTTTGAAGATAAGTCAACTGGAGCAAGAAATTGAGCAGGCCAAAACACAGCTGTCTGAAACACAAAAGCAGCTTCAGGAGCCAGATAGTAAAGAGCTGAGAGATATTCCTGAGAAAGTCATGTTACAGAAAGAGTGCCAGAAGAAGACAGAGGCAGCTAAGTTGAAAGTGCAGGTATTTCTGATCTGATCATTAAGATTTGCAAACCTCTTTCTCACTGTCTGAACCTTAACACTCTGTTTGTAAAATTTGTACCTGTTTTACACACTGGAAGCTGGTTGGATTGAAGTATCTAGTGGGAAACTTAATACTATTATACTGAAAGTGCTGGTTAACATTGACTTTGGTTAGATACATAAAATACCTTCTTGGTATGTAAGAGGCTAAGAAAGTATTGGGAGATATATTTCCATACATCGTTGTACATAGTCCAATAGAAGGACTTATTCAAGAGGGGGTATTACAAATTTATTACTTGCTGTAAATAAAATTGATGTTTTATGGAAATACTATATAAATTGTAGGTCTAAGAAAATCCCTGCAATGTTTTGCAAGATCAGTGTCATTGTTTGACACTGACCTTCTATTTTTAAGTTCTGCAACATCTAAGTTAGTATTCTGTGTAGGGCCACCTTAGGTGCTCTGTGTCTCTCAATCCTAGAATGACAGGTCAGTAAAGTTCCACACAGAAAGAGGTAGTTTGTTTATTGACTTGAGCTCAGGACCAGCATTCTGACACCATTGTGTCTCTGCAAATGTTTCAGAACTGTGGTTTCTGCTAGATTTTAGTACTTTTACTGTATTGCCAAGCATGAACTGTACCTTTTCATGTAGTTTAATTCTGCCTGTGCCAGCTTCACCAGATAGCTCAGAAGCTACAGTAATAGCAACTGATTGTTTGGGCAGAAGTTAATAAATCTTGGTGACCCTAAGAATTCAATGAAATAAAGAATGAAGCTCTGTTATATTTTAGTTACAAGTTTTCCTGCTCTTAATATGAAATTTGTCATGAACATTCTGACCTTACAGAAGAGAGAAGCAAGAGAACTTGCGCAGAAAGTGGCTCAGTTGAAGCATCAGCTATCCCAGATAGAGGAGAGACTGTGTGAGGAGAGTGAAAAGAAGTAACTGGAAGCAGAGCTTCAGCAGGACCAGCAACAAATGAAAGTAAGATTATTCCTGTTTTCCCTATGACAAAGATTAGGATGAATAATTTTTGCCCCTGCTTCCCCGAAAAAACTACACTACCAGCTTTTTCCCTTATTTTTAATAATGCCATAATGAATTTCTTGATAAATGCACCAAAGAAATTGTCTATAAACATTTTACATTAATCTCCATTTTGCCTTTCTCTTTCAGCTTTTTTTTTCCCCTTCATTTTATTACTTTTTGTTTGTTCACAGGATCTTCAATTTAAGATGGAGCAACAACAGATCAGATGATCCTTAAAATTTAGAATAAAGAAAATGCTGCTTTTAAAAAGAAGAAAAATAACTCAGTGAGAACTCCAGAGAAATAGTTAATCTATTCCAAATATGTGTGACCCCTGAAATAAAAAAAAAAAAAATCGTTTTTCATCTCTAGTCATCTGATTTTGTAAACTGTTTGTATGAAGAGTATTCCATCATAGTTTTGTCTTTTTTTTTAGCTGTAGCAAAAATTGGGAGTAGAGCCTAGCAGCTTTTGTAGTGTACTCTTTTTGAATGAAAGAAAGGAAGGCCTTTGGTGTCTTTTTTTTTTTTTCCTATAATTTGTCAAGAATACTGATTCAGAGACCGGTGAATTCATCAGCTTTGGTTGTCCAGTTGGTTTGAGGGTGACCTTGATGTGCTGTATTTTAAGGGTTCCGTGGGTTATTCAGGTGTTTTATTTTGTTTTGGTTTCTACTCTGATATTAATTACAGTGGTTTCAGTTGTTGATAACAGGGTTAGAAAAGTATGTATCCTATGTAGCAGTGCCACCTACATTACTTCAGATGTTTACACTGAAATATGAATTACCCTAAGTCTTTAAAGGTGAAAAGAAATTTTAGAAGTTAAATAAAGGAAACTTTTTAGCCTTAGCAGGAATATATAATCTTATAAACTGTGGCTTCAGAATAAATTTATAAAGGGCCATGCTTGCAGGTCCAACAAAGAGCTAGTTTTCAGCCACTAAAATGCAATGATGGGCTAGCTGAATTTTCATGGTACCATCTAAACTTAATTTCTGTGCTTGGATAGATGACATCAATTTATGTAAATAGTTTTTACAAAGATATTCTTTTGTGGAAAAAATGACGGGAGACAAGTCCATTCTATAATGTCAACAAGTCTCAGTTTATTCCAAGCACGCATGTACAGTTATACCTGTTATAATGAAGCTCATGCATATTGCAAAACTTAGGCTCATCATTGGTGTATCAAAAACAGGTCAACCCCGCCTTTGGGGCTTTCTAAGCTTGCTTTGTTTTCCCTTACACTTATCTTTTTGCTGACCATTCTACTGTTGGGAACCAGCTTACCCAAGGACATAAGATATTGTTGCTACATCTGCTATTGCTGCACTATGCAATTTTCAGCTACTGCTTCACTAACTGCACTTAGTCATGTCCTTTCTCATGAAGCCATTCATCCACAAAACTCTCCACATTTCCCCTGTTTTTGTTTTGGACCATTAAGTTAGTTGTCCACATCTTTTGAATCATACATTCTACTAGCCTCTGAAGACAGCTAAACAGGCAGGGCAAGATCAGCAAGAGTAGTAAAACAACAATCAAGATTCCCACTGCATACATAATAAAAGTTCTTAGCCAAGGACCGATCCCTAAACTTTTAAGCCATTCTTCTATCCCCAGACCATCTTCCTTTTTTAATTGATGAAACCCCTGTTGTAGTTCTTTAATCTTAGCATGTATTGATACAGAATGATCAGAGAGATTCATGCAACACATTCCTTCAAATTCCTCAAATCCATGTCCCTGGGCTAACAACAAAAAATCAATGGCTGCTCTGTTCTGCAGTACGGCATGATTTACACTTTGTATATCCATAGCAAGCATAGCTAAAACCTCTGATGTTTTGTTAAGTTCATCTTTAGCCCAACATCCTAATTGTTCAGCTAAAACCATAGCCTTTCTGGCAGCTCCTCCTGGTAACACTGTTGCCACTATTACCTGTTTAAAGGTACTCCAAAACTGAGGTTGTCCAACCTGATCACATTGTAAGTCATGCACGTTACACCTTTTCCTTGTCTTCCCTAGCCTGTTCCATTGCATTAGCAACGACATATTAGGATGGAACAGCGCTAGTTTTCCTAGGTAACAGGGTCCCCCTTGTGGTTTTACCGGTATTCCATTCCAAGCTCTATCTCCACAGATCAAAAACACACCCTTTGGCAACCTTAAGGGTTTGGTTATCTTGGAACCATCAGTTAGAATATAACTGTGATGCTATCCTACCTGAGTCCAGTGAAGAGTCCAGAGAAGCCCATTTGTCTCTTGGGTTATTTAAATTCTGCAAATTCAATGGAACAAAGATAACCATCCTCCTGTTGAAACATTCCCTAAACTAGTATTAGCACTTCCAAAGAGATCTAATGCCTCTGGTGGAGATTGTAATATTTCTTTAAGTGACAGTACCAACAAACATTGCTTATAGCCATCTCTTTGACCTTCTGTGTAATCAATATTCTTGTCTGGCCCTTTCACCTTTGCAAAATTCTTGCAAAGCATTTGATCCTTTATCAACCCACAAAATTCCTCTGGTCTCCAGACAGGAACACCTGTTAGGCAGGTATGAAATGGATTTGTCACTCTTCCCAAGCTAAGGCATAACGAACTTTGATTAGTCATGTTAGCCAAGGTTACCCAAATATTTTCTCTGGGCTGATTAAATTGCATTAGTCCACAACAAAGATTAGTCAAAAGAACAAGATAGATTATCCACCTTATCACCCTCATGATTTCTTCCGCTTGGATTTTAATTTCAATGCCTGCACATATTTAATAAGCTTATCTAATTCTATGTCTGGATTTCCTACTACTGGTTTTCCTAAATAAGATCTTACAGATATCTTCACTTGCTTTTGACACCTTGTTGATAAGATTTTTGAATTTGCCTGTCTAATTAACCTATCACAAGCATGTTCTGCTTCCCACCTATAAAAAGCTAATCTCTTTTGTTCTGGCGCTTCAAATAACTACAAAGCTATAGCAACTCCTAAGCCTGTGTCTCGTATTAACTCTCTCTGCCAAGAATCTCCCTGTCTTCGAAAGTCACAATGTTTACACCAAAAATGTCGTTTTAAAAATACTTGATCTTCCCAGTACGTTTTTCCACAACTCCCACAAACAAAAGCAATCCAACTGTTACAATTAAAATTCCCACAACTAAGACACTCAGGATTCTTTGGTCCCAGAATATGAACAGTCTGTAAAGCCTCAATAGCTGTAACAATTGCTGTAAAAGTTGACTCTGAAGGCAAAAGTTGATCAATCACTGGGGAAAGTCCTCTTATCTCTTGAAGAATAGGTCCCACTGTGCAAATCAGCTTCTCTTCAATCCTCCTCTGGTCCTGATCCGTCAGGCGAGCTAAGAGACGACTCATCCAGAGCTGGTTTAGTCCACTTCGCTGGCACCCAGAGTGAACCTGTAGGGATGGAAACACAAAGATATCCCCTTCCCCAATATAGGACCTTTGCTGGGTTCTGCCAAATACCTGTTTTAGGGTCCCTATACCTGACCCATACTTCTTTGCCCTTTTTGCTCATTTCTTTTTGTCCATAATGTACCATTGCAGGTGGTGCCTCTGAATCCCCAAATATACACAAATTATTAAGAACAAAGAGCAGCCTTTCCTGAACATCTCCAATCTCTCTATGTTTTTCCAGATATCTCTTCAAAGTTCCATTTGCCCTTTCTACAATTGCTTGTCCAGTGGGAGAATGTGCTATTCCTGTAATGTGCTTAATTCCCCATGATTTTAAAAATCTATTCACCCTGCCACCAATGTATGCAGGACCATTGTCTGTCTTGATCTGCTTTGGCACTCCCATTACTGCAAAAAAACTACACAAATGCCTTATAACATGTAATGCTTTTTCCCCAGCTTGAGCCGTTGCCAGATATATAAAACTGCATGTTGGGCTTTTTTTCTGGTTTTTTTTTTTTTTTTTAATGGTATCTGTCCACTTGGAGTAAATGAGGTCCCATTACAAGAAACAAGCAATTTTTTCACTTTAGAATGTGACAGTGTCACCTACATATTTCTTACTGGAAAGGAATATCTCATTTTTATATCTGTGGTTGCTGTGGGTTTTCTTTTTTGGCTTTGAACAAAGATAGTATGAAATTGTCTACGCTCATCAGCATGCTGGATGAGGAGCTGTGTGATAAAAGTATGCAGCTTCAGGGCAACACCACTGACAAGTCAGACATTTTGGAAAAAATACAGGTTCTCCAAATGGAAAGGGATCAGGTGCTCAGAAGGAGAAATAGTATGGATAAGAATCTGAAAATTGGTAAAGTGTTGTCAACTGAAGTAAGTAAGCACTTCTGAGATAAATACAGGTTTTAGGTATTGTTTGATAATAAAGAATTTCAGTCAGAACCTAAAATGTCTCCAAATATCAGGTAAGCTAGAAAAAAGGAGCAAAAATTGGATACTTTTGTAAATAGCTATTTTAGAGTACTTCTATGATAGCACCAAGTATATACTGGTGAATGAAATTTAAGATCAGAGGAACATAAGTCAGATTGTGTCTTGCCAAACTCTATTAGTCTAAGAGTCATATAATGAGAAGTAAGGAAACCAGAACTTAATCTGTTTATCAAAGGCAGGTATTTTAATATCAGGATACATAACAAGCCATGTATTCACATAGTGATGTCCCTTGATTTTTTTCACAGAATCTTGTGAAAAAGCAAACTTCACCTGAAGGACTACTACTTATTTTCTACAGTGAAAAAAGTCATATTGCATGGATGGCCCATTACTTGGTGTTGATCGGTATCATAAAATAAATTCATATAAAATGCACAGATTACTTTTAGGTCTTGAGAAGCAATATGAGACTATGGCTTAGGTGATAATGTTCCAGAAAGACCCCCTTCTTGCCTCACTCATAAAAGTCTGCAGTGCTTCAGGCCAGGCATTTCTGCCACTTCCCTACATAAGTCATGGTCACCAAACTCCTTACTGACTGATTGATTAATTCATTAATCTAACAGAAAACTAGTACATTAAAAAATTAAAAATAGCAGAAGTCAAACTGTGGTGAGGATGAGGGAAGGATAAAAAGAGAAACATAACTTCTAGTTTTGTGATGAGCCATTTGATCAACCCCTGTATTGTGTTAGGAAAAGACAAATGGTCTAGATTTGCAATCTATGTCTTGTTTTCCCCATTCCATTGTCTGTGCTACTAGTTCACCTAACCATTAAGATCAGGTTTGCTCTTGAGAATGAAGCTAAGGATGTCTTGAAAGATTAATTCTGAGCTATTTTTTTTGTAAAGATCTCACTCATGTGTTTCTCTGTAGGAAGAACATATTCTTTTCCAGCTAGAAGAAGGAATGGAAGCCTTTGTAGCTGCAATTGATTGCAAGAATGAAAGTATTCATAATCGCCAGCACTTACTTAGGTCATCGTCTCAGAGTCTTTCACAGAGCCAGCATAACATAATAGGGAAACTAGTTTCTCTGTCTGCTGCTGAGCTCAGAGCTATCATCATCAGTTATTTCAACAAGTTTTTTTTTTAATATGATTTTATCCCATTTTCTATTACTATTCTATATACTGAGATGGTGACAGGAAATAAAAATAAATTTAAGAAGAAGCTTTTGGTTAATATATCTTCAGGTTACATAGATCTGCTATTAAATAGTTTTTAATTTTTATTAAACTTAAATAGGATACTTGTGAGTTAAATTTTTATATCATGTTTTGATAGATTAGCTAGAAACGTGCTACAAATCTGGAAATTACCTTGCCCTTTTCCAGTGCTCTGTGTTGTTAACTTAAGGAGAAACAGCATGTTTAAATAGTGGTGTTGTAGTAAAATTCTTCCTGACTGTAGAATTTCAGGAAACTTCATAAAGGCTGTTACTCCTATTGTGTTTTTCCTAAATCTGGTTTTGTTGGTTTAACAGAGCCTGAATTTAGAGGGGGCAGAGGAAGCCACGGAAGCAGCTTCTGAGAGAGAATGCTGCTCGAAGCTTCTACTATGTCCAGCAGAGCCAATCTCTGAAGGCTCTGATAATGGACATGTTGCTAATTGGACATGTTCTTTAATTAGAGAAATTGGTAACACCTCTGTGATGACGTATTTAAGAAGGAAAAAAAATGCACGGAGTTTTTGTTTTCCGAGGGCTGGGGGATGCTGGGGTAGCCATGAGGCTGCCATGGCCATGCAACTGCTGCCATCTCAGCATGGCCCACAGTGAACTGTGCCTGCCTGGCCACTTCTAGCCTGCCATGCCGTGGGCAGAAAGGCAGGGGTGGTGGCACCAGCTGCTGTTTCCTGGCACAGCCACAGGCATCTTGGCACAGTCCACAGTGAACTGGGCTTGCTTGGCTGCTTTTGAAGCCAGCTGTGCTGCGGGCAGAAGGGCAGGGATGGCAGTAGTGGCACCTCCTTGCAGGCACCCTGCATGAAGAGAGGCACTGAATGGTGCCAGCACCACAGTGGCTGGCATTGCCCAAACAGTGGCAGGGACCATCTGGCCAACAGTGAGGAGCATGGTGAGCATTTCCCCCATATAGAGCCCAGATGAGATCAGCCTTTTAGCACTTGCAAAACCCTGTAAGAACTTCACAATGGATAGAACTTGAAAACAAACAAACAAACCTGCAGACAGTTTTCTTCTCAGTCAGAAAAAAGGTGGTGAAGACACCTGGGGAGAACAACATGGTGCCACTTAGGTCAGTGAAAAGCCTCCTCCAGGAAGAGGACATGCTCCAAACATCAGACCTGAGATTCTTGTAGAAGCTGTGGTGAGGATTATAATACAACAAACTTTCCCCATAATTCCATGAAGTGCATAGGGGGATCCAGAGATCCACTCACAGCCCATGAGGAAAGGTGCTCATGCTGGACTAAGTGAATGCTGAAAAGCTGTAATTTAATGGGAAACTTGAGCAGAGAAAGATAGAGAAAGATAGAGAGAGAGATCCCTTTCTTCCAAACTAGAAGAGATTATCCTTGAAAGACTACATCCCACGAACTAAAATGACCCACTCTATGCAGTTTTGGGAAGACTGCATTAACTGTGGGAGGCACTCAAATTACAGCAGGTTGGGTGGGACTGGTACTCATGAAAATTAGAACCACGCTAGAAAAGTTTGCAGAGAATTGTGTCCCATGGGAAGAACTCCACAGCATAGCAAAAGAAAATCCTCTCCCTAAGTGAACTGAAGAAGGATTTCAAGTGAAAACACTAAGCAAAACTCTCACACGCTATCTTCCTGTGCTGTCAGTGGGAAGGAAGGAGGGACTGGAGGTGGAGAAAAAGAGTGTTTTAAAAGTTTTATTTTAGTTCTGATTATCCTCTTTTAGATCTGTTAATAAAATTTTCATTATACCTTTTAAATTTGAGCCTGTTTTGCCCTTTGAGTGTTTCCTCCTGGTCCTTACCTCAACTCAAGAGCCCTTTAGTTTTTCTTTCCTCCTCCTCTGCTGAACTACAGCAGAGGAAAAAGAATAGTTTTTCGTGAGTGCCTGGCTTTTAGCCAGTATCAATCCATGACACCAGTATAAACTGATGCTTTGCAGTGTATGCAGCTATGTGCTTAGGAATCATACATCTGGAGATGTATGTATGTAAATATTAAATGCACTATGACATGGTGTCTTTGTGATCTTGGGTGAACCTTTGGTAATTTTGTAGAAGGGTTGTCTGTGGGATGCAAGTTGGAAGTTTTTCAGAATCTGGAAAGCAATGTTCTTTCAGTTTAAATTTTGCACAATCCAAAAATCCACTAGTCCATGTGATCAAAATGTATGCATTTTAGTTTTGAAGAGTCAGCCTGTAGCAGTGGCAAGTCTATTTCCACTATAAGCTTAATTGCTTGTAGAGATCCAGTCCTTTTGTGTATTTTAATCTATTAGACTGAAGGGTAAAAGATTTTCTGAAAACTGCTTGATAAATCAAAATAAGTGTGTTTCTTTCTAAGATTGTTGGCCTGCGCGAGTCTGAACAAAAATTACAAGTGCAGATTGAAGAACAGGAAATGAAGTCCATACACCAGAAAAATATGATGTGTGAATTAGAATCTGCACTTGAACACATCAAGGTGCAATGTGACAGGCAGCTGACTCACCAACGCCAAGAACATGAGAAAAAAATACAGTTTATATTGAAAATTTTCAAAGGTATTTTCTTCTTGGGCAGGAATTATACAGCAAGTATTTTCTTTGGTCATTGACAAAGAAATACTGTATTCCAACTGAAAAAATGAATAAGGTTCAGAGATATATTTTGGCTGTCACTAATTCTATTGCTATGTAGGATGTCAAGGAACAGACACATGGTGTCTGTATGAATGAAAAACAGAATATTTTTTAAAAGCAGTATCAGAACTGTCGTATTTTTGTATTGAATTTACTGATACTGAAAAGTAAGACACCAGTTTTGTTGATCTTGATCTTCTAAATACTATTACAACTATATGTAGGATTAGCACAGCCTTTTTGATCTTATTTCATGTGAGTTAAACCATGCACATTGCAAGCAAAATGCCATCAAGATACTCTGTCTAATTGGGCATCTTGATTTTTGGCAAAGCTACTTGGTTCTTAAACTGATTTTATTTCTTCTAGAACAAAATAGTGAAGGTATTGCAGATACCCTGAAAGGGTATGAAGTAAAAATCCAGCAACTGGAAAAATATTTATTTTTCTATAAGAAAACCAGCAGAGAGCTGAAGAAGAAATTGAAGAGCCTTCTTGGAGAGTCATCTGAATAATTATGGTCATCCAGTAAATGTAAGCATATTATCTGATAAATGTTTATGCAATTCTCAACAGACCATTTGAAGAAGTATGTCAGATAGCTGTAGAACATTGTATTTTTACTGTATTAACTGTTTTTTGGGAATATATTCCACCTTTACCCACGTTTCAAGTGAGAGACATTTATTTATAGCAGTAGCTCTAGCAGTGGTGTGCCAATGGTTTAAATTCTTGCTCTGTTTTCTTTGGATTCTAACAATTTCAGCATTTACAACCTCAAACTGTTACAGTTCAGGCAAAGGAATTTTACTCTCTGAAAGCATCTGAACGCTACTGTAACTAACAGCTCTGTTATATGCCATGCATTTGATTTCTTAAAAGTTTCTGGGAGATTGTCAATGAAAAGTGCCACACTTACAGTTACTAACTTATTTTAGCTATTTACTAAAGCTGAAAGAGCATTTACACTTTTGAAGGGGAAGAAGAAATGGTCTCTATGGCAACTCTGTGCTTTGACATAAAAAAACCCCAACCAACTGAACAAACAAAACACAACAACCATTAGTATAAGTTTTTAAATGTTACATGTCCTTCTTGCCAGAACCCAGATGTACAACAGAGCTATTCATGTGGAGGAGAAAAGAAGATTAAGTTTCATCACCATTTCTGTTGTCTTATACCTCTCAATGCCACCACAATACCACACATACACAATATAGCCTTCTTGGCCTGTGTTTGTTTCTTTTTAAGGCTCAGCAAGACTGGTTCTTCCTCCCAAAGGATGCTTCTATTTCTTCCCACTCAGTGAAAATTCAGTTTCTTTCCTACACAGAGACGCTGATCACACCCCTCTGCTCCCAGAGTGAATTAGGGCTCAGCCCTTTCCCTCTAAGGCAAGATAATGAGCCTTCATATTCATGACTATAAAGTACACTATAAGACTGTGAACATGATTATTCTAGAGCCTGGATAATGAGTGAGCATGGGAAAGATTATTCTGTGTCTAGTATACACAGAAGCATGCAGAAGCATGTAGTTTAGGATATGTATCTTTGTGGACAACCTCTTAGCCTTGGGAAATTTTAGCAGTAGGAAGAAGGGAGAAGACCCCTATGAATTTCCAGCTTTTCTTATGCATATATTTGCAAGTTTTGGAAGATGCTCTGGATAGAGTTATTTTTCTTTTTAGTGCTTTTCAGTACATTATGAAACATATTGCTATATAATGCAATAAAACCATAATTTGTTACTGGGCTTTAGAAAGAATAAAATCCCTGTTTGTATATTGCAGTCAAATTTGTAAATGTCTTTTGTGTGTTGTACTAGTATAGTTGCTGACTTTCAGTACATGAATAATTTCAAATTTGTCATGGTTCAGTTGTTTTTGGACTTCTTTCTAGGATCCATGACAAATTCTAATGGTGAGCCTTGTATTAACAGCACCTTCTCAGATGAGAGTAATGGCAAGTACCACTTACGGTTTTGTAGATGATGAACTTTTTGAATAGAAAGGGCAAAATGCGAGGTGCTGATAACTTTTTACTATGTTCATTCTGTGAGTTGCTGATGCTGTAAAACCATGTTGCCTGCTTATGTCAGGCACTTAGAGAAGTTGTAACTTCTGCCTAACAGTATTGGTGTTGTTATCCAGTCAAGAGGAAGGACAAGTTGCTTCTGATGAATTTAAGTGAAAACAGCTGTCTTTACTAACTAAAGTAAAAGTACTTTTTCAAGTATCAGAAAATTCCCATTCTGTCAGTCTGCTCCATGTACTTTAAGCAATTAATAAAAAGAGTAGTAAAATAATTTAACAAAATTCTATACTGCTTCATTGGATTTTGTAACAGTCCCAATTCCTCGTGGAAATTTTTTGGGCTTTGCTTTAGATACCATCTAGGCAATGCTAACATAGACTGAAAACAGGGAGAGAAGGCAATTTTCCTTACCCACTGTGGTGAATAGCAGTAGTGTGTAATTAATATTTTCTTCCTGATGGTGAATCAGATTTCCAATTTCAGTTATGTGTAATAGGAGAAAATACAGCAAAGAGCAGGTCTGTATTCTTGTTATACTGCAGCTTTGAAGGAACTTCTCTTAAACCTGAGAAAATTCTAATTTTTTTTAACTACTTCAGTATTGGACAGAATATTCCTAATTCAGTACAGAAATATTCCCAACAATACGTAGCTCTTAAATGCAAGAAAATATGGATAAAATTTAAGAAAGCAAATAGGTTGGAAATAGGTTTTGGATAACAATATGTTTTGGATGTCCCATTCATGGAAGTGTTGAAGGTCAGACTGAACAGGGCTTTGAGCACCTTGACCTAGTCCCTGCCCTTGGCCGTCATCCTAAGAGGGTATGTAATAGACCTGGGTGTTGAAAGGTCCTTTCTGACCCAAAGCATTCTGTGATTCTGAAATGTTACGGTCTGTGTCTTGTTTATACCTATATGACTTTCATCTGGAAAATGGAGATGCCAACATGTGCAACTACCACAGAAAAAACTCCTCTCTGCCTGTTAGGTGTTAAGGAAAGTGTCATATGTCATTCTCCAGAGCCAGCCTAGTAATAAACAATTCCTCTGGTACTACAAACACAAAGCTCAAACATTTAGTTTGTCCCATGTTAACTGTCACTGAATGTAATATGGCTATAAAAATGCAGAATTGTTTGTGCAGCACTGAATGTAGTACTAAATCCTGGCATCTTACTTAGTAGTGACAGTTGCTGAAGTTGAACATTACGGAATGTTAAACTATGAGTAGGAGCTGGCTGATTAGAAGCAGATTAGAAAACCTCTGTCAGTTACCTGGGAAAAAAGCAGAGAACACAGGAATTAGAGGGAAATAACCAGAGAAGAGATAAAAAAGTAGACAAAGCAAAATACCTGTAAGTCTTTAGACTTTTTTTCCTCACACACTGTAGCACTAAGCCATTTCCAAAGCAAAGTGTGTGTGAAGAGAGCACTTCACTTTGGTGGGCAGCAGGGGAGGAAAGTGAGACAAAATTCTTTATTAATAAAGGTACCATGAATCTGTAATGCTGTTACAACTTACTAATGATTTCTGAAAACTAGTTTCATGAAGATGCCAACAGTGAAATAGAATGAAATTCTATTTCATTCTATTCTATGAAATTTCAAAGAAATGAGACAGTGTACATTTATTGAGATTTCATTATAATGCTGAAAGTCTTATTGCAGACTCACCAATTTGTTTGTCCTGCCTTTGTTTGTTTGTTTGTTGTTTGTTTTCTGGCCAACTCTTTGAAAATAATTTTGAAATATGGTACCAATTGATGGTAGTGATGCCAGTGCTCAGAACGGTGGACCCTGTGACCACAGAGGATAAAGTGTGTATAATTATATCCTGACAGATAGAATGCTATTGGGTGGAATGAAGTAATCTGTTTTGTTAGAGTCTGATTCAAACTAAACCCCCTTCATTTGGAAAGGTTGTAGGTTTTTTCATTATCTGCTGCACTACAGAAAATACTTATAAGAACAAGACTTTTATCTAATCAAATCAGTAAAGCCTGTAACTTGGAGATATGACTTATTTTCCAACATGTTTGTATTTGTAACAAATTTTGAATTAGAAAATCCAGGATATTTGTCTTTTCACAAAAACTAATTTGTCTATTTCAAGGTGTTATAAAATTGCTAGATTATTTTTAGAGAGAGTAATTTAATTATTCTATATTGTATCAGAAGTCAAAATCCAAAAGACTGATTACTTGCTATTCTATAAATTTGTCTTCCCTTAAGTTTTAATTTGTCCACCTATCCCTATTTGACCAATTTAGTTTGATTTTCTTTCTCTCTCAGGACATTTATTTGAAGCTTTGCCCACCTCCTGCCCTGTCATCCCACACTGTAGAACTAACTTGTGTTGTTTCTAGTGCTACTGAGTTTGACATACTTAAAAATCAGTTTGTTTTATGCTTGCTGATTAACAGGAGTTCTATTTAAATGAAACCAAAATTGAATTCTAGAAGTGCCTGTTGATGCCATCATAAAAAAGTCATGATTCCACCATAAAAACCAGTTTTTAAGTGTTCAAGTAACACATAATGTTTCTAACTTGGGCAATGCTAAATACATTTCTTATTCAACACAACTCCTTTCCCTGTTTACCACTTGCTGTATTAGCCTGTCCAGTATAGAATTAGTCTATCCAATATAAATTACACATAAATTCTTCAATCAGCTGATTTTTTCTCTTCTATGTTGTTCTTACTCTTAAATTCTTTCTATGTCTCTTGGGGAAAAAAAAAATTGTATTTTCTCATATCTAGTTCCTTTTACATTTGTAATAAATGAATGTTCACAAAGCTTTTTTTGTAGCTGTTGTAGTTTGTTTCAGGAAGGATACTTCTCTTCTGCTTTCTTTGGAAAATTCAGCAATTGTTTCAGTATTATTTTCTCACAATGAGTCACTTTAGAATGGAACTGTATATGAATTTGCAATAGAAAGCTTTGATATTAACTTAATTTTCTGTACAAATGTTCAACACTATTTTGTATCTGTTCTAGTTACTTTGAAATACTCTGTAAATTGTGTTGCAACACAGTAAAACCCTTCTTTTTCAAAAAGGTTAATTAAAAAAAAAATCAAACCCGCATAACTAAGGCTGAGGTGACAAAGCCAGAATAAAGATCAAAAGCATCAAAATGAGAGCAGTAATGCTCTCATTTACTGAACAGTGAGTTCAGACTGCATAGATTCAGTGCTAGCTTTAAATAGACAGTTAAAGTTCTGAATTGAGACAAATTTTCCCAATGAAACAAAAACAGAGGCTAGGGAGATAAAGAGGCTTGTTGGAAAGACCAAAGCACAGTATACATGTAGGGAGGAACTGGAGAAAAGAATTCTGGGATGGATATGACTAAAGACTACTACACAACCTTAAATATTTTTTTTAATGAATCAAACTAACAGAAATAACTCTGGTTAGGGCAACAGTTATGGAAAACTGTGGGGTTGCATTTTCATGTTTTATTGTGGTTCATTGTATTTTGTATATCAAAATGGTTCATTCCTTTGTACCCTCTGCACCCTTTTGGTTTAGCCCTGGCTTTCCCTCCTCTCCTTACGTGTCAATCTCCCCAAAAGTGCTGAATCATTCCCCTGTCTCCTCCCAGTGCCCTGTCTGTCACTCAGCGCCCCTTCCCTTCTATCTGGAAGCTTCCATAGAGGGTGTGGGTGATTGGACAAGGGCCTGGGGCCCCTCCCCTGTTCCTCCCTGACTGGATGCCCTAGTTGTCACTTACTGAGAGAGCCACACCCGTGTATATTCCCATTGGTTAGTCGGGTTTCCCCCCCCCCCCCCCCCCTCAGTATATAAGCTGTTGTTTGCACCACTTCAGTGCTTCTTTCAGCTGGAGTTGAGTTTGTTTGGGTTCTGGGGTTCTCTCAGAGTCTCAATAAACTTTGGAGTTTTTTCCCTGAAGAGTGCTATCTCTATTATTTGTTGGTGGGATCAGCCAAATTGCTGGACCCAGGAAGGCACTCTCCAAAGGCCAGCAGGATCCAGTGGGGAGTGCGAACCACTATCGAATCGCCCCTTTTGGAGCTAGCCGGGGCTGGAAGGAAATAATCTCCTGTGGAGTAGGGACGATGGGTCAGAAAACAGATGCTAATGGTTTGGGATAATGAAAAGGATGATTCTTTTTCCTAGAATTTTTAATGGGTGATTCTTTGTAAGAACTAGAAAAGCAATC